TTTTTTTTTTTTTTTTTTTTTTTTTTTTGGGAGAAATGGGTGGAGGGCAATATTTATTTTGAAAAATATCATTTTAAATTACTCATTTGTAGGCTTTTTTTTTTTTTCAAACTGGGTTCTGTGGGTCCACTGAATCTTGTAATGTATTTAATTGTTCATTTATATTTTATTTCTTTATTTATTGGTAATATATCCACTTTTTTTAAAACACATTTTGCATTTGATTTTTTTTTTTTTGTGTGTAGCTGTTTATTTAATGACAAAGTAATATTATGCATTTTTAGGTATTTGGTTGGATTCAAAGATAACATTTGCAAAACACATTCAACAGATAGTAGATAAATGTAAAAGAGGAATAAATGTACTGAGGTGTTTGGCAGGAATAGATTGGGGAGCTGATAGACAGTCTCTAAAAAGAATATACTGTGCACTTATAAGGTCTACATTAGACTATGGGAGTATGATTTATGGAACAGCTTCAGCATCTCTGTTAGATAAGGTGAATAAAATACAAAACCAGACATTGCGATTATGCTGTGGAGCATTTAAAACTTCTCCTGTATCAGCTTTACAGGTTGAAATGAATGAGATGCCACTGGAGCTTCGCAGGTTGAAGCTGAAACTGGTATATTGGGCTACTGTAAAAGGGCATTCAGAAATACATCCAGTTAAAAAAGTATTAGAAAACTGTTGGGAACATGAATACATAAATATAAATAGTTTTGGATGGAAAGCAAATAATGAGGCACATCAAATTGGAATAAGTAATTGTGATGTTTGCAATACTGTTGTGTTGCCAGTAACACCTCCATGGTTATTCCCAATGCCTGCAGTTGACCTTCAGGTTTTAGTGAGTATAAATGATAAAAACAGACAAGAATCTAAAGATTCAATAGTACAGAAATATTTAGATCAGAAATATATATCAGTAACTCATATATATACAGATGGATCTAAAGATCCTGAAACAGGACGCACAGCAGCAGCAATATATGTTCCAAGGTTCAGGTATAGAATAGCAAAAAGAACATCTAATCACCTATCAGTTTATACAACAGAAATGATTGCCATATTATTGGCTCTTCAGTGGGTTGAAGACATTAATATACCTGAAGTAGTCATATGTTCAGACTCCTATTCAGCACTATCAAGTTTAATGAGTGGTAAATCTTCAACTAGACAAGACATTTTATCAGACATTTTACAAAGTTTGTTCAGAATACAAACAAAAACCATTATCTCTTTTGTATGGATTCCTGCACATATAGGGATAGAAGGTAATGAAGTGGTGGATCAAATAGCGAAAAAAACATTAAAACATCCAGACATAGAATTTAATGTTCCAATGAGTAAATTAGAAATAAAAGGGCTAATTAAAAAAGCATTAAAAGATATATGGCAAAGTAAATGGGATGGTGAGAATAAAGGACGGCATTTATATAATATTCAAAAAACAGTTGGAAATGAGAGGAGAATTTTTGGGAATAGAAAGGAAGACGGCATAATATCTCGCCTTAGAATTGGACACACTGCACTTAATCAATCATTATTTATAATAGGAAAACATGAGTCTGGACTTTGTGGTAAATGTGATCTTCCTGAAACAGTTGAACATATTTTAATAAAATGTAAAGGATATGACAACGAAAGAGTACAACTTACAGAAGCACTTCATATAGAAATAAATCAGATCTCACTTCAGAAATTGTTAAATAAAGATGTGACTATAGAAATGTTTCACATATTATTTAAGTATCTCAAAGATACAGAGTTAATAAACAGGATTTAAAGAATCTTATTGAAACTTTTTTAACTTTTTTTTTTTTTATTTTTTTTTTTATAGCTTTGTTCAATTTATGATGTTAATAACTGGAAACATCCATTGGGCTCCTTACAATTATAATGTTCTAATGTAGGTAACTTCCAATACATATGTAACTGTTAAAAAAAAAAAAACTCTCTTCGTCTACTTCTGTAGACCACTGTGGGACTTCCCTCATTCACTTTAACGGATGAGGACCTACGGATGGGTGACCCGGCAGAGAGCATTCGCCGTGCAGCTTTACACTTGCATGAATCCCAGCATTCACACACACCACAGACTCTCAGACAGCCTGGATCCCTGCTGCATGACCTGAACATACCTGAGGTACAACACAACAAGAACAACAACAACCCTGATCAATCAAATATGATTCTCAACAAAAAAACACATGCAGACTTATTTCTCAATACGTGTTCTGTCTAATGATTCAATAAACTGTTCCTTTTTAAGAAATAGATATTTCATCTATTTTGAGTTAAGTGTAATTGTGCAATCCTTTAGCAGCAGTACATTGGCACAGGTGAGGCAAAGAAGTTGGTGAGCTGCATCTCTCGGACCGTGATGCTTAAGAGCAGGCATGCTAACAGACTTTCAAATGCTGAGGTAAGGTAGTTTATATACGTTTTATGTCCGTCTATATACATGCATGCACAATTTTTCTGCCCTACTCTTTTTCATCTCTAGCCTAAGCGAAGGCAGTCTGTTATGTTCACCATTGTTAACACACCAAAACGCCAAAGAGGTAGTTTGCTGCAGCGAGGCCTGAAGCACCGTAAGGAAGCCTGTAAGTCTCCCACAGTGGGCAGTCGTGCCCTGCAGCCTGCGATGAGCGCCGCTAACAGCAGATCGCCGCTCTCACTGAGAAAATGTCCTCGCAACAAGTCTCCAAAAAAGGTACAAACAGCATGACCCTCTCCTGGTGTCGATAACAAATTGCTGTAATCATGAACCAAACTTCACTTGAGCTGGGAGTTTATTTGAGTAGTATTAGACTAATGCATGGTGCACAATTTCTAGGTTAAATTAGTGTTTTGTGTGTGTTTAGGGAGAGCAGTAGACGGACTGATCATCTTTCCTGACTGTATGTATCTGCTTGTTATGTGGCAATACACTTTAATATTGTTTCATGAATTTTTTAAAACTCATTTCATTCTCCACAGGTGATTTCTTTCTCGTCCAGGATCATTTGTGGACAAAACCTGGATTTATTTTTATCTATAATTTGTTAGTTTGTTTTCTGTTCACTGTGTAAATTGATTGAAGGTGTGTTTTGGAATAATGTATTAAAAATAAAAGATTTTTGTAATGTACTTTGTAGTAGTGTGTTTGAATGTTTCGTATTTACTGTTGACCATCATTTAAAAAAAAAAAAAGAAAAAAAAAAGCAGAGGTTATTTAGTTTCTATGAAGATAATGTTTTACAGATGCATTCAGTTTTCCCATTTCTTTTTTTTCCTTTCCTTCCTTCCTTTAATATATTTTTATTTACTTTTTCATTTATACATTTAGTTTTAGATTTTTTTTAATCAAAGTCATAAATTCTTCATACTCCAGTAGAGTACCATCATTTAAAAAAAAAAAAAAAGCAGAGGTTATTTAGTTTCTATGAAGATAATGTTTTACAGATGCATTCAGTTTTCCCATTTCTTTTTTTCCTTTCCTTCCTTTAATATATTTTTATTTACTTTTTCATTTATACATTTAGTTTTAGATTTTTTTTTTTTCTTTGGATTTATTTTTATATATTTATTACTTTATCGTGCATTTTCATGCATACGTATACATTGCAAACTATTTTTTTTCCACAGTAAGGTTGATCACACTCATGCTGCAAAATGTACATTTATGCAAGGCTTTATTACGATAAATAAACCAGAAATGTATCCTTTTTTTTGTTGTTGTTGCAAATCCTGTTTAAAAAAAACAAAAAAACATTGGAGAAATAAAATGCGTTACAATTTTGCGCCGTCTTTTCCCAGAAACCGAAAGTAAAAATGACGTCACCGGCGTGACCGGAAACGCGGAAGAGCAGTCAGTCAGGCCGTGGCTCCAACGGATGACATTTCTGTGGACGTTTTAGGCTTTTTTTTGTTTTGTTTTGTTTTTTAAAAACTACATTCATCGAACCGACTTTAAATAAAGCCAGTTTAACGCTAGAGCGCTTCCTAAATGTTTTGGGTAAGTTTTTGTCGCTTAAGATATTGATAGCTCAAATATTTTTTTCAGGCCACGAATTTCCTTGTTATGCGATAAAAGATTGTAATCGACATTTTTTCTGTTTCTTAGGTAGAAGCTGTGCTGTAATTGGTTTGTAAGGAGTTTATAACCATCATGAGTAATTTTAGGGACGATAGTGATTCTGAAGTGGATCGGTAAGTGTCTTGAGGGTTTGACGGTTTTTTTTCTTGATTAACCGGCCTGTTTTCCTTAGTTCTGCTAAACCAGGTTAGTTTGGTTATTTGAGACTCCAGCCAGACCGGGTGTGCAGAGCAAATTAAAGAAACTAAGAATGTCCTAAAATCAAAATAATTAAATGCAAAACAACAACTAGAAAGAATACACGCGTTGTAAATAGTAACTGTAGCAGGTACTAAGTGACACAGTATATTAATAAATACTCGTGTAACCGTGGTGTAATAGTTCAGGTTTGCATCTGTCAGGACAGATGTTTTGAGTAGTCGACTAGTTGATATACTTTTTATTTGTTTCTGTATTCCTGAAGTATATAATTCAACATCGTTCTCACGTTCTAGAATCATTTTGGTGCAAATTTTGTTTGTATCACTCCATTTAAAACCAGCAAACATATATGTTCCTCTGTTTTTTGGGAATTGGAAATATGAGAAAGTGTTAGAAGATCATAAGGATTGGGGTTATTGTGAGGAGACGCATAATCTGACTGATCAAATATCAAGCCACTTTATCAAAAATCATTCTTTCTGTCAGCGAAATCATTTGGTTTTTCGCATTGAAATACAATATGCATTTAAAAGAGCAGAGTGTTTGCTGGTTTAGACATTTGATGACCTGCTCAGGTTGGTCCAGGCTTGCATGAACACTCGTGGTATGAATATGGAGAGCTTACTTTGATTTTTAAGCATATTAGATTCCAGCGACGCTTCATCCAGTGGAGCGTTTTGAGTTGTGCTCTTTGAATTTTGGCCTCAGAATTACAGGTGTTGGTTAGCAATGCAAAATGTCTGTTTTTGAGTTTTGTGCAGGGACTGCTTGGACGAGTTTCCATTTGTTGAAAGGTCTTCAGAGTAGACGCATGCTTGTTTCCGCTGCTGTTACTTTGTTTCTGTTTTAATGTCGCTGTTAACTTTATTTTAAGGATCATGATGGACCGACCGTCCAGCAGTTATGGCTCCATGCATAGTGATGATCATGAAGGTGAAGAGGATGATGAATTTGAAGAACATCTGCTCAAACTACCAGCAACAAGGTATGGTAATATACAACTACACACACAAAAAAAAGAATTGGGAGTGTCATAATAATAATGATAAATCAGATTAGAAGCTCAAACTACCAGCAACAAGGTATGGTAATATACAACTACACACACAAAAAAAAGAATTGGGAGTGTCATAATAATGATAAATCAGATTGGATATGACATGCTTGACAAATTGTCAATCATGACAAAACTACAAATTACTTTAAAGGCAGAGTAAGTGATTTCTGGTAGCCAATGTTGATATTTGAAATCACCAAAACAAACATGCCCCTACCCCAAAAGGGTCTTGCCGCTATTCTATTTTATGCTCACCAAGCCTGCATTTATTTAATCGAAAATATAGTTAAAGCAATATTGTAAAATGTTTTACATTTCAAAAATGTGAATTTAAAATAACAGTTTTGTTCTGAATATAATTTAAAGTGTAATTTATTCTTGTGATGCAGAGCTGAAATTTTTGCATCATTCCAGTCTTGGTTAATTTGTTTACATCATGCATGTGTATTTTCAGGGTCAGGCTTCACCGCTCTGATTCGCCAGAGACTGCGCAATATAGCAGACCACTTACAAAAAATTAATATCAGTTGCCACTATTTCCCAAAAATATGTCTTAGTAAGATGATATTTAAATGTTTAGCTTTATGATTTTAAGGATCTGTTTAGTTTCTAAACGCATAATGCAGTGCAATACAATGATGATTGAGACCTGAACAAACAAATGTGACCCTGGACCACAAAAGCAGTCTTAAGTCGCTGGGGTATATTTGTAGCAATAGCCAACTACATTTGACTCCTTAAAGTGACTTACAGGAGTATTTTCTTTTTACCTTTGTAATGGCATCATTTTCATCTGTCAAATTCAAAAATTTATGTTTATAGTCTTTTTAAAATTTCTATTTAAAACACTATGTAGAATAAGACATAAGTTACCAATCATATGAAATTAGTATTAATAAATAAATTTGTACTACAGAGGTGGCACAGAAGAACACAAAAGTGGCTTGTAGGTACATTTTCAGACGTTTAATGAGGCTCAGAGGTAGCATAAGTGCAATTAAATTCATATGGAGATTAAGGTTTTAAATTATAACATTTTGAATACAGAAATATGATTCAAATAACTGAAATGATACGCTAAAAATGAAACTAAATCCGCCAGCAGGTGGCGGCAAGTTACTGATTTTATCATTGAATCATTCTTTCAATGGATTCGTTCGAACGGCTGAATCATTCAGGAATGAAGCAAGTGACTGTCTTTATGAACTGATGGAAATCCGTCATAGCGACGGAACTTTAATCCCTGTATTTGATACTCATAATTCAACATGATTTTACAAAAAAGTTATGTATGATCAAGTAAACCAAATCAGTCCGGTAAGTGTTCATCTTGAAATATTAACAGTATTAAAGTTATTCTTACATTTACTTCATAAAAATCAGTTAAGATTTCACAGCAAAAAGACAAGCTGAAACTGGACATTTGTACAGTTAAACTAAAGGTCCTTGCACACAGAGACCGAAATGCGTTTTTTTTTTTTTTTTTTTCGTATTAGTCATCCTTTCCTATCAAATTGCTTGCTACGGATGCGAAAATGCAGAAAATTGAACCTGATCCGAATTTTACGATGGACGGAAGTTTCGGAGCCAGTGTGTAAACGTGAGGTCGTGTTTATTTTTTTAACGTGCGAAAATTTCGAATGAAAATTTCGGACTCGATGTGCAATGACCTTAAGACTTTCTAATAAAATGTCTAAACTATCAATCAGACGACAAAAGGCATGTAGTTGTGTACAACAGGTTTTTCATCTTGTTCATTTTGAGGCCATTTACATGTCATTTTAGAGAGCAAGGTGGCCAAAGGGTTATTTCTATATAAACCCGTGTTTGATACAGGATCCTTCATGTTTTTTTTTGTCTTTCTGTCTCATTCAGCAAATGGTGGAGTGTCTTTCCCAGCTCCATCCGGAGGAGATCGCCTATTTTAAGCGCTCCCTGAGTACTCACTGCAGATTCAGGAAGAACTACTCAAGGATTGCGGATCTTAATGACCCGCTGGATCTGGCTGATAAAATGATCGAGGTCTGCGGGCTGGGAGAAGCTCTGCATCTGACCATACGAGCCATCCAAAATGTCGGAAAGGACAATCTGGCCGAATACCTAAGGAAGACCTGTAGAAGAGGTAAAGCAGCATCACACTTCACAAAAAAATTCATCGGGATTCAACTTTTTTTTTTTTTCTTTTTTTTTTTTTGGAGCTTGACAGACTTGGTCTCCATTTACATTTGATGTTTGACCTACTACAATGTATTAAATCACTTATATTTGACCATAAAATGCTCATTGAGTTTCTTGCACAATTTGAAAAGGAACATGTCAATTGTCATGATAAAATCATTATGTTGCCAAGATAATTTACATGTTGCCTGTGATAAACCCATGTGGTTAAGAAAACGAACTGCCTTTTGTAAGAAAAAAATTGGGAGGTGTATTCTGATACACATTAAATAATTAGGTTATTAATTATCAATAATGGGATAAATGTGTGTCTTATATAATATTTAATTTTTTTGTAATTTTTATTTTTTTTTATCCTATGAATGTTAGGTTAGAAATGTTGATGACAATATTTAGAAGATTTAAAGTCTTTTTTTCCCTCATGTTTAAAATGTTTGAATTATGTTATAAAAGCTTAGTCAGTTTCAGCAAAAATAAAATAGTTTCTAGTCTCTTTAGCTCATCTAGGCTGGAATAAAATAATTTATAGATGATGCAAAGCTGAATTTTCAGCATCATTACTCCAGTCTTCAGTGTCATATGATCCTTCAGAAATCATTCTAATATGCTTATTTGCTGCTCAAGAAACATTTTTGATTATCATCAATATAGAAAACAGTTGTGCTGCGTTTTTTTTTTTTTTTTTTGGAGCTCGACAGATTTGGTCTCCATTTACATTTGATGTTTGACCTACTACAATGTATTAAATCACTTATATTTGACCATAAAATGCTCATTGAGTTTCTTGCACAATTTGAAAAGGAACATGTCAGTTGTCATGATAAAATCATTATGTTGCCAAGATAATTTACATGTTGCCTGTGATAAACCCATGTGGTTAAGAAAACGAACTGCCTTTTGTAAGAAAAAAATTGGGAGGTGTATTCTGATACACATTAAATAATTAGGTTATTAATTATCAGTAATGGGATAAATGTGTGTCTTATATAATATTTAAAGGACGAAAGCGCCATTAGACGCCCTTCTCACCAGCTTAATAAAAGGCACGTTGCTTCCGAACGCCCGAGTTTGGATCACCAGCCACGTCACTGCCGCCCACCGAATTCCTCCGCAGCTAATCGACAGGTATGTAGAGTTAAGAGGATTCACGGATGAAAAGAAGGAAGAATATTTTACCAAGAGGACCACCGATCCTGAGCTCGGTAGGAAGGTTTATAACCACATGAAACGCTCCAAAGCCCTTGAGATCATCTGCCACCTTCCTCTCTTCAGCTGGATGGTGGCGTTCATCTTCGAACGAGGCTTTCGAGATCCCGAGTACGGCAAACACCCACCTGGCATCACGGCGTTTTTTTCGCAGTTGATCATCGTGCAGATGAACCGCTCGTTCGAGAAGTACCGCGGCTGCAACGTTGAGGATCAAAAGTGGAGGGATGAAGATAACAGGTTTATTTACATGATGGGGAAAATGTCATATAGGATGATACAAGAAGGTCGGGACTGGTTTACGGTGGAAGATTTGACCTCTGTCAACCTGACCTATGAAGATTTGCGCAGTCGCGATGAATTAACCACTGAGGTCAAACGAAAGAACGAAGACATTCATACTTGGGTCTTTAAGTTTGTTCACATTACCGTTCAAGAGTACATGGCCGCCATGTATGCCTATGTGGCGTTTCGGAAACATGGTAAAAATGTGATCGAACCAAGCAAAATGTCTTGGTTTCAGGGTCCAAATAAGGATCGGCCTGTGATTGAACTGTACCGTCCTGCCATCGACCGCGCGCTGGCGTCTCCGAATGGTCATCTGGACATGTTCCTGCGGTTCCTGGTCGGATTGGTGACTCCAGGAACTGAGGATAACCTGCGCGGATACCTGCTCGGTCACTACCACCCCAAAGCCAAAGGCACAGAGGAAGTGGTCAAATACATCAACAAAAAAATGAGAGATAACATCCATCCTGACAGGAGAAGAAATCTGGAGTTGTGTCTGGTGGAGCTGGAGGAAGGCAAAGAGTAAAGATGAGAAGAAACAAAGCAGGACAGTGTTCAATCTGTTAAGCGGGACTGTGAAACACTAAACTAAACGCAGTGTCTCACAGGAACGACTCGGTTAAAGGGATGGTTCACCCTCTCATTATTTACAATACTGGTCAAAAGTTTGGAATAATTTGGATTTTTACTGTTTTTGAAAAGTCTTGTCCAAGGCTGCATTTATTTGATCAAAAACCGTAATATTGTGAAATGTTATTTCTATTTAAAATAGCTGTTTTCAATTTGATATGTTAAAATGCAATTTATTTCTGTAATGCAACGCTGAATTTTCAGCATCATTACTCCAGTCGACATGATGTGTGAAAATATAGAGAACTATTTTTTTTTATTTTTAGTGTAAAACTTTTTCCATTCAGGCTGCATAATTTTGTTGAATTATTCAAAATGCATGAAAATATTAGGTATTTAAGACACTTTTTTAAATTGCTATTAGCAAGACAAAAGTGTAATTTCCATCAAAGAATGTTAATTAACGCATAATTTTAGCTGTGGTGGAAATTACGCTGTGGTGGGAATTTTCATTACTTTCAGGGGGAAAAAAGAAATCGTTCTAATATGCTGAATTGGTGCTCAAGAAACATTTCTTGTAATTATTGTTGAAAACCCCCCCCCCCCCCCAAGATTCTTTGATGAATAGAAAAAAAAATGTTCAAAATTTTTTGTAACATTATAAATGTCTTTACTGTCAGTTTTCATCAATTTAATGTAGCATAAGAAATGTTTCTTGTGCAGAAAATCAGCATATTAGAATGATTTCTGAAGGACACTGAAGACTGGAGTAATGATGCTGAAAATTCAGCTTTGATCACAGGAATAAATTACATTTCAAAATATATTCAAATAGAAAACACTGTAAATTGTAATATTTAATTTCACTTGTTTTTACTGCATTTTTTATCAAATAAATGCACTCTTGGTGAACAGAAGAGACTTTTTCAGAAACATTAAAAAAAAATCCTAATGATGCCAAACGTTTGATTGATAGTGTACATTAACATCTTTGGTCACTGCAGCTTTTATTGATTTGGGATAACACATTTTTCTTCATTTTTGTTAAGATAAAATCCACTGATTTGAGTGACACAGTGGTGTGTAAATGATAAATTCAGATGAGTAAACTCTTATTTATTGGGTGAGCTGTTCCTTTAACTATTTTTGGTGCTGTGAGCCGAGAACATCCGTTTGCTTGTGAGTCAGTATGATGGAAGTGTTTGCTTCAGGCTTTCTTCAGCTTTAGAGATTGAGAATAGCCAATTATAGCACTAATCAGGGCCGTTTCTAGGCATAGGCGAGCTAGGCGGTCGCCTAGGGCGCCACCAGCTGAAGGGGCGCCAATGAGCGCACGTACTGGCACTTTTAGCAGGGTTGTGATAAAGAGTGGCACGGTCACCCTGAGTATATAGTATCCAAATCAAAATGTAATAAAATTTATTTATGTGTGATTTATGTGTAAATTATGTGCAATGTCTTCGCCACTAGGGATTGTTACATAGGGCTATACAGGCATCTAGTGGCAACACAAACATTTTGCACAATTTAGTATCTGTAATATCATTATCTTAACAGTCAATTTACAAATAATGCATTCAGATTTGTGGAACTCAATGCACTGAATCTCCACAAATTAGTGTCGTTACTATGACAACCAATTTGAATGTGACAAGCAACTGGTGTCTGAAAAGAATTATATATATATATATATATAATTTGTGGGGGGGGCAATAGGGATTTCGCCTAGGGCGTCAAATTGGCTAGAAACGGCCCTGGCACTAATAATTGTTAAAGTGCACACAATGCTTTAAAGGGACCGAAGAACTGGATGTGCACTTTTCAACAACAATCACTGCTTTCCAGAATCACCAGTACCTAATCTTGCAAACATTATTCATTAAGCAGTAACATGAATAACTAGACTATTACCCTGACAGAGCAGCATGATATGAGGTTTTAATTCATTTTTCTTTGCTTATATGAGCAGTCATTGTTTTTCAGGTTTTAGGAAATCACAAGAGACTGATGGATTTTACTTTCGTCATTTGCTTCAGATTTACACTTCAGAAAGAGATCATGTAGTTACTCATCCAGACTTTTTAAAATGTTTAATTAGTCTGGTCTGCTTTTATACACTGACAGTTGATGGATTTGAGGTAAAATAGTATTTAATTAGCCGTTTCTTTTGTTGTTGTTTTTTTTTAAAGAGGTGTGTGTGGGTTGCAAAGCCAAAGGATTGTCGATTTATGCACAATCATCACCAATGTGTCCTTGACAAACATTTATAATAAAAGTGTCTCTTGTAGTGGTGAACTGATGTTTCTTTCCATATAGAATTTATTTACAAAAAAAAAAATCTAGCATTTCATGTACCCCTAAATAAAATTTTATGCATTCTTTATAGCAAAGTAGGTGTTTATATATTTCTAAAAACATATGCTATGATTTGGAACTTTCATGCATTTTTAAAATGTTTTTTTTTTTTTTTTAAGTGATTTTATTCTTAAATATTTTTTCTAGGCTTATTGGCTCATGTAATTAAAACAATTACCACTGAAAATAAATTTCAGGGGCCAAATATTGCCCCTTGATTAAAAAAAAATCCCAATACATGAAATGTAATTAAATGTTATGTAATTTATTTATATATTTTATTACAAATATAACTTGTTTGTGCAAAAATAACACCGTGCGGTTGTTGTTGCTTGGGTAGAGCCCCCAGGCTAAAATGTACAGACTAAATTGACCGAGACGTTGGATTTGCCGATGTTGCACGAGTCCCTGACATGTGCTGCCTCGGATGTATCGCGGCGAATGTTCCGAGCTAAACATTTGTTTCTCGTACGACATGAAACGGTTCTTCCTCCAGGAGGCGCTTTGAGGTCCAGAAGCCTAATCTTCCGTCTACACCATTCACATCTCCGGCTATTTTTTCTTCTTTCTGTTTTTGGAGGCACTTGTAAGATACAAATCTTAACCATTTAAATTTTAATTTCAAGAATTGTTGCATGTGTCTGTAATGGAAATATGCCTAAGTATTTTTTTATAAAATGATCCAGCCTTATCTCTTAATCGTAAGTGGTTGTGATTGGTCCATCCTGTCATATGGTGAGAAAAGTAGCATGTATCACGTGACGTTTTAAAAGAACTCCAAACAAAAATGTATATTACACTGAATGATGACAAAGAAAAACTTTAACCGCCGTTACTTTAAAAAATACACAGTGAATTGTCAAAATAATAAATGCACCCAATTTATAACATCTACTTCATTCTCACAGCCATTCTACTCGCTCATATCTGTTCCTGCGGTCGCGTGTCGGAAAAGTTTTTTTTTTAATTTTTCGAATTTTCCCGAACGCCTCGCGCGACTTTCCGGCGGAGGAGAGATCCAGCGCCGAACGTAGTACAATGTAATAAAAAGAGAGAGTTATTAAGAATCCGTGTATCATTCGATCATTCGTTTTTTGATTTAATATT